CCATTTAACCTAATTTGTATAACATTCTTTCATATTTGTACCACATTATGTAAGTATGTGTTTGTTATTTACCCTATGAGTCGGATGGCTCACGGCAAAAAAAAAATAAATGAAATGAATGAAGGACCCTATTTCAATATCACCCCATCTGACAAATTCGGAAATATCACCCATCCCGATTTTGTATTGCAAATTGATCACGACACCATGTTCATGGCCTCTTTAAAACGTCACTCTATATTGTATTTTCGCAATTTATTGGACGTCAAACACCTTCAGTCGATAGTAAACATATGATGTATGATAAGTTATTTCCTTGTTTTGTTTAGATAGATATATTAACGTATTTAATGATGTTTCCGTGAAGTTGTCCAACATAACATTAACACATACCGTCATTAGATTCAGACACCCATGTGTTCTCTATAGATAATATAGAATTCGTTCTCATTCTCATATAAAACTCCCCTATAATTTTATAGAAAAACTGCATATCTTTTTTCCATGGAGTAGGTAAAAAGTTCAAAGGACAAGTTTGAAGGTCGGAAAAAAGATACCTTAACTAAAACGAAGCATGAGCAGATGTAAGCAGAAGATGAGAGGTCAGCAGAAGATGAGAGGTCAGCAGAAGATGAGAGGTCAGCAGAAGGTTAGAAGTCAGGTGAGGGTGAGGGGTCAGCAGAAGATGAGAGGTCAGCAGAAGGTTAGAAGTCAGTGGAGGGTGAGGGGTCAGCAGAAGATGAGAGGTCATCAGAAGGTTAGAAGTCAGGTGAGGGTGAGGGGTCAGCAGAAGATGAGAGGTCAGCAGAAGGTTAGAAGTCAGTGGAGGGTGAGGGGTCAGCAAAAGATGAGAGGTCAGCAGAAGGTTAGAAGTCAGTGGAGGGTGAGGGGTCAGTAGAAGATGAGAGGTCAGTGGAAGGTTAGAAGTCAGTGGAAGGTGAGGGGTCAGTAGAAGATGAGAGGTCATTACAAGATGAGAGGTCAGCAGAAGGTTAGAAGTCAGTGGAAGGTGAGAGGTCAATAGAGGGTGAGAGGTCAGAAGAAGGTGAGAGGTCAATAGAGGGTGAGAGGTCAGAAGAAGGTGAGAGGTCAATAGAGTGTGAGAGGTCAGTAGAGGGTGATAGGCTAAAGTTACAGTAAAGTCCCTGTTATGTAATATGATTCTGTTTTGGTTAACGCATCATACGACAAAATGATTGTTGATATTTTTCACTGGGCTGTATGGTGGGATAAAACTAATAAATACGTAAAAATGAACAGTGCTCCTGTTCATAAACTTTCTCCGACAATATTTGATTGGAGAGGAGGGTTTCGTTCCATGAAATCTGATTATTGTAATCATCCATACATTTATACAGTCTAATTAATTAAACTTTTTCCAATCATTTGTGTGGTGAATTGAACTTGATTAATTGATGGTATAATGCACGGTTTCTCTGCTTTCGAAAGTCACATTTCTGACTTTGGTTATACATAATTCCTATCGTTCGATCAAAATAAATCTGGCAATGAAAGAATTGCTCATGTTAAATTGATTAGATTAAATAATATAAAAACTACATGTGGTTTATTCTAATTACAAGACCAGGGACTGTCGATTACATCCAATAATCTGTTATTAATGGTCGGGATATATAAGTTTATAATGTACTGCTATTAAAGAATCTTTTCCGTTTCTATTTATTTTTAAATAATTCTTTTTTTTTCTATTTTGATTTAAATAGTGGTTAAGTTGTGTGAGAAAACCATGTATGATTTATAACATAGTACAGCTGCTCTTTTTTGGTAATATTGTAAATGGGCGAGTAGGGAGTTGATATATTTTATTTGCATTGAAAATATTTTCCGATTTTTCAGATTTTTCCCGTTGAGATTATAGATTATGAATTCCTACAAAAGTCAATGTTTTTTTTCTGTTTTTCGTTTTTTGTTGTAATGGTGAATGGTTTAGGTGAATTATTGGTGCCAGAGTTCTATGATCCCACGTGCCAACGGTAATGACACCATATGGCGGTTTAAGCCAGCGGTCTGCGCGTGAATAGCCTGACATATGTTTCATTTCAAGGTGTTAATTACAAGAAAGATCAATTAACGTATCGCTTAATTCAATTAATCTGAAATTGTTATTTTCTTTTCACACCATTTTTTAGTACTTAGTTGATAAATATTTTGATGATAGTAAAACAGGTTTGGGTGATGACAAATTAGGGTAAGACGATATTAAGTACCCGCGTCCGTTAGACAACAAATCGTTTGCATAACAAACGTATGTTCTGTCTATGATATCAAAATAATTGTAATTATCATATCATTCTAACTATCAGTTATCTTCCTTTTGGAACCGAGTTCATTTAATATGTTTTGTTTGTTTGTTTCTTTTTTATTTATTTTTTTTTCAAACTTAATTGATCACTGTGTTTGAATTAGACTTAAGATTTTCAAAATATATCTATCACCTTTATTGTACAATAATTGGGAAACCAGCTGTTTTATTTATATCACTGCAGTTTTATGTCTGGTTAAATTTCTTCTGTTTTAGTACCAGTAGAAATAACTTACTTATAACTGTGCTTGTTTTAGCAAGTTTACTCCAGATAAAATTATTTTCAAATATATGTATTATTGTGCTGTCTCCTAAAGATGATTATTTACTCGGCCACAGACATTCTTATAAAACATCAGAGGAATTGAGGGAGTCAGACTTGTATAGGCAGTGTACTACATATAAAAATATATTTCCTAATTGTATATACATTAAAGTATGTTTTGTTTTAGGATTGCTGCTAATGATCCAGTGTTTGGATGTAACAATACGATAAAATTAATCAATTGATTGATTGATTGATTGATTGATTGATTGATTGATAATAATGAAGTAAAGAAATTATTTTATGAATTAACCCTTGTTAATGAAACGGTCCCGTGAAAAAAAATTATGGAAAATCTTGTATTTGTTTGCTTGTTTTTGAATTTGAAAACTTGGTAAAACGTAAAATTACTTTTTTTTTTTGCAAATTTATGACAATATGTAACAAAAAAACATTTCCAGTAAAGTCCGAATCCAGATATAAAATACATAGACTTACATTGTATCTTTTTGGCAAAAAAAGTTAGACTCATTTTTTTTTCTTACCATCAAAGATCTCCCGCATACACAAATAACAATGCCAGTCGTGTTAACATAATATATACATACCTACACACACACACACACACACACACACACACACACACACACACACACACACACACACACACATATATATATATCATATACATTGAAAATAGATAAATTTGTATATAAAGTACATTTTTAATGTCGAAAGAAGAACGAATTATAAAGTTTAAAAAATAAATTGAGCATTTGTAAGTCAAGTAATGTGAGAAAAAAGGGTCGATACTCGTAATGTTTACAATCGTCATCTTAATGTCACATTAATTGTAAAACATCAGTTTGATAAATTTATTTTATAGGTTGGATATACAATTAGTGTTTTCTAAACAATAAAATATCTATATTTAGTCAATATGTTGAGTATTCTTATCATCCTTTGCAAGATTATTTTAATCAAAAATCGATTTTTATTTTTTTAATTTATACATCATTAAGCTGACAATTATTGATAAAGTCATCGGTCTGGGTAAAACGAAATTTGATGGTTTAGAAGGGTATTAACAAACTTTCACACACAGTGAAACTTTATCAGCTACAGAGAACAGAACAAAGTCGCATTAATTTTTATAGATTTACTTTTGTATAATAAATAGCGTTTCAAACAAATGTCTTTCTGTTCAACGTTTAACAAGATATTATTGTTTGTGTGTAACATAAGACATTATGATTTAGTAATCGATAAAAACATTCGTCACCAAAAACTCTTCCATGTGTAAAACAACAATGGCGGCCTTTTTCTTTTGTTTTTTTTTTTACCTGTAGAAACACAGCGTATAGTTTACATTTAAATCGTATCGTCTACCTGTCAAATTTCACTCATGGTCTCAACTGTTTTTAAATGTCATCCATATTTTTCATGGTCAACGATTTTGTCGGTATAAGGCTTTGTAATAGCACTTTTCACATATGTTTGAACCATACAAAATACAAGTTCTCCATGTGTATACATGTATTATTTTGTATGTAAGCTTACTTCTATAGACTCTCGGCCATAATTCGTCTGTTTTATTTACGTTTAATCCAGCGAAATTTGTACTAAATAACGTTCTCAATCCGATTATGTTCATAATTCTTTATAATAACGCTCCCGATCGTTAAAACCACGTGGAGTCGTACAAAGGGGCGGGGTTATCGGGGTCACTGAGTGATTGACAAGTCCATGGGATATCGAATTTTGTGACGTCATCAAGTGAATGTGCTCGTGCATTTGAATAACAAAATAAACCCTATTATAGAGAGAAATAGAAAGGAGAGAACCGGCGACCATTTCTGTTAGCGAGACTGGCAGTATCTGTATGAAGTCCGGCCTAAACACGTGTGTTAATGTAGATATTAGCTAGCAGCGAAATACCTCTGTCTTTCAGAACACTCGCATGTATTTACAACACCGAAGCACGGCGCACTCACACAGCGAGGGAATAACTAGTATATCTTATAAAATTTTTACTATGCGGTCACTCTGATACTTGGGTTTCAAAACAGGACCTATCGTCACTGGATACAGGAGCTAATTAAATATCACTCCTATTTATTTTGCACATAGAGGTGTCTTTCCGGTGTACAAGTCTTCTCGAGGATTTTTTTTACATATACAGGTGACATTCAGCTGTGAAGCAGAAACGTCACTGCATCAAAACGCACGTGTGTGTGTTCTACTGATGCAGAGTTCTGATTTCCGGGGTGTGTTTATTCTGGACAAAACGTCGCAATAATTTAGTGATACACAGGACCTATGGTGTTGACCAAACCTGGAATTTAATTTATAGCTATACAAACTACAAGTTATTTATTTCAATATTTAATATTTTCTTGAAATTAATTGACTATGCGAACAGATATGGCTACAACAACTTTAAATACGGATACAACGATAGCCTTGAGTCAAAGCATGGACTCGGTAAATGCTGTAGCTGAGGAAGAGGTAAGAATTTTTTAGATAAATTTTCAATTAATATTTTTCTAGAGTCACATGATGCTTAGTTATAAAGATAGCATATTTACATGATGTAGATAATATAGCGTTATATGTATACCAATGGGCCCGGTCTATGTATTAGCAATATATTATCAACTCGACATCTATCTATTAACACAGTTTGGAAAAGCCCTTTCATTTCAAGCGTAACGACACGGCCGAGTGAATACACTAACGAACCCTTTATAAACAAATCACGAACACGCCGAGATCATATACTGTGATTGTCATTGTTTCTAGGTTTTATGGAAATAAGAAAGTTCATTGCCTATCTGTCTAAATTATGTATGTATGATGGCAAAGACGTCTCGAACCTGTTCTTGTCATCTTCTCGTGTCAAACTACCTGTTACATACAGGCTTTGAAGTTTAAACACGAATAGTTGATGTTCACAGCCTATAGACGCTGTAAAATACCTGTGGAGAGAAAACACACGTGTTTTTCACAATCTTGAACCATTCGGCTTTTATAACGAATCTCACGTGTCAATAACAAACAGAAAATCTATTGGAGACCAAAATTACCTCACTGATTCAATCGTCTGCTATAAAACGCAATTATTTCATTTGTGGGCGATAGATTAGATTGTTTACACAGAGACATTACGTTGAAGACTCCAAACACACAAGCACGGAATCGTTCTATCTGCCAATTTCGTACCTATTTCCAATATATTAATTTTCCTACATTGTTGAATGTACGGAGACTTTAAACCGTACTGAACACAATTACTTTTATAAAATAGAAACGAGTCTTTTGTTGTAAGTGAAGGGAGGATTAAATATTTTGCTAGCGTTTGGTCTAAGCCTTCACTAATCCCTAGCCTTACTGTTGATAATTAGGACTGAACCACTCGTGCGTGACCACCAGTATTTTCTATTACCGTCATGAGTTCAAACCGGTTTCCCATTTAGCTGCCCACTTTTACTCTCAACACGTTTTATACGTAGGTACTTATTTTTAAATTGAATATCCAGACAGGCAGAATTAAAAATTTCTCTTTTATTGGAGAAATAATGACTTCCTATATTGTCAGGCGTATATGTGTGTTTAGAAGAAAGATCTGACTGAAAGTGGGAGTTTGGATAGAGTTCAGGCTAAAGTGATATTCATTGATTTCTGTTTTTCTATGTGTACTACCCCAGACATTCTAAAGTGTATATCTTTATGACTAAAGGAATTAAATTAATAATTTATATCATTTCAATATGGCCCATGTATGTCATATAGAAAAGTGATGATTTTAAAAGCACTTCTGACATATGTAGAAATGTTGGAATAGAGTTTAGATGTAATGGCAAAGTCATTTAAATATTGAAATAAAACTGAACTAAATTGTAAAAATGATGTTTGGACATCATTAGCTGAGATTGACATCTTATTTAAGTAGATATAAGAAATTATTCTGGATCTTACCAGAGACCTACACAAGATTAAGTTCTTTGTCAGATCTTAAATTCAGCCATCTTCTCTGATTAACTCAAGATTTTTCAGTCTCGTTAATCAGAAGTACCATGTATTTGTGACTAGTGCATAATGAATTTAACAACATGCTGCAATACATTTTTGATATATAATCCATATTCAATGATTCTGAATATTTGTCCTGTCTAAATTAAACCTATTAGAAAATCAAAATTAATTTTTCATTCCCTGTTGTTATCAAAGATGAAATGAATGTTTTCTTATTCTCAATTTCTATTTGTAAGTCTCCTCCCCCCGCCCCCTCAACCCCACCATCTACCTAGATTTCAGGTTTGTGGGTTAATCAGTTTTCTTGACTCTACACCTACTTGTCAATATTTGTAGATGGAAAATATTTGAAAAGGAAATCAACAGACTGGTCTTTGCTTTAAGAACCTTATTTTAAAGGATTATACTGACAATTTGCTGAACAATCTTCTCTGTAGTACAACTGGATGGCTTTCACTGCTCGTCGAGAGATGCACAATTTTAAATTCTGGGACAAGATGATTTTAAACACTTTCAGGCAACGTTATAAAACAATTCATTCTTACTTAAGCTATCTCTAGCGTTGAATTTCACACACCATAAAAATTTTCCTTTATATGGGCTGTCCGCCTTTTCAACATGGATGGTGAAATTGATTAGTTCTTGCAGCCATTGGAGAGTAAAAAAGAAGACGACATTTCTGCGGAAACTAAATAACCATACTTGTCATTTGTAACATCATTTCAGTTTTGAAATTGTTTTCAGTTTCCAAGGATAATTATGCCTTATAAGAGGATATGCCCAGTTTGATATTTCTTAGGTTTTTGATTTGTTTGACACAACCTGTCTCTGGTTCTTAAAATCAAAATTAAAAAAAAAAAAAAAAACAATAAAAATTTGATGCATCTCTTACATATCATGTTTGAACTTGTGTTATTTGTTTGAAAAGCATTAAGCAGATGTGAAATTTATGCATCAGACTGACCTTTAACCTGAATAAACTTTGACTCTTTTGAGTACCTGAAACACCTTTGACCTTTTATGGGTCACACAGATTTGGTTTCCACTTATGTAATAGATATGGCTGTGAGTTATTATCACACAGTGTCTAAGCAAAGTCCTTCTGCTTTGATAGGAGATAGTATGTCCAATGTCTGTGTAGGAATAGGGGTCAGAAGAAAAAAAGACTCAAATTGGTCCTGATGGTGGTAGTGATGGAGGGAAGGCTTGGGGTGGGTCACGACTGGACTAAGGTTAATAGTGTTGAATCTGGTGGGTGTTGGGGAGGGGGATCATATCTTTCAGAAATTCTGGGAACCCTGATCAGGTACTCCCATCTGTTCTCCATCTTCATAAAGTACTACTAGTTAAATAGCTGTGCTAATTCATTGAACTAGAATAGATAGTTGTTACAATTCTGTTTACTGAAAAGCTACATTTTCCTTCAGTAATCATCTATAGTATAGAATAGCGTTTTGGGATTTGTTTAGCAGTTGGACACTAATTTATCCTTTACTCCCGATCTCATCCTTTTCCTTCTAATTATCACTCCTTTTCTCTGTTTCCCTCTCATCCGTTCATCCCTGGCCCTCAAAATTCAGATCTATCTCAATTCTCAAATATCTTTCCCCATGTTTGTTGGGTTTCTCTGTTGTGCCATTACTGTCCCCTCTGTAAGTTTTTCACTTCCTCAAAATACCAGTATTCTCTGTGACAAAGTGATATTTCCGCTGTCAAGTCCGGGCTTCTCCTCGGCGTTCCATCATCAACCTACCAGTATATATCACTCTGGCTGTTGTTTAATTCTCTGTCTAATTAATACATTGATGAGGTTGCGGTGAAATGATGGGGGATATGTGTACATCAGTATATGAGGTGTATTTACATGTCTCCACATACAGAGGGGAGATTTGTCAAATTGTGACTTTCAAGGTCCAAATATTTATTTATCAGTGTTTGTAGACTTGAAGAACTGGGTCCCAATTATCTGTTGGTAGGAGTGAAGTCCATTTAGGTAGAGAATGTGGCTATCTGTGTTACACTGATAGCAAGTAGGATAACACAGGGGCGGGGTTGCTGCTTATTTGAGAGGATTCCGTGGGGGGAGACTGGAGATGCATTAGTAACCCTTATATTGATGAAAATTCCTTTATCTTGTCCTCCTTCCAGTGTAACCTGTAAATGCTGCCTCATAATTCTTTATCAGCATGTGGTTCGTTAATTTGGGTTTGGTGATTTTTGGGATGAATTTATTTTAATCCTGTTCACATGATTTTCTTGAGAGATGAGACTCCATATATTTTGAAAGACCACCCTATAACAAGCTAAGGTATTTAGATGATTGACTCAAACTTTTATATTCGAACATGCCTGGAGACCACAACTTTCCAGCCCAAAGATGGGGGTGGGCTTATTAAAGGATAATGATATAACATTTGTTGGCATTTTGGTGAAATGAATAACATAGTAGAATAAACTAACTTATTAACTGCGATTGCTGATATCAGATCATCAAAACTGTGTGAATAGTTAATACATTGTAAGGGGACTTACTACAAGTTATACTTTTTTGACACGAGATACGTAGACTTTCTCTGTACAAATTGATCTATTATTAGTGGGCTTTTTATCACTTGATAACGTCAGTAGAAAATTTCATTGACAAAAAACATGCTACTAGTAACAATTTTGACAGTCGAACACCCGCCATCATAATTACCAGACATGGGGCAGAAGTTGAGGGACGAAATACACAGAAGACTGGAATATCTTTGAAAGAAAGACATATATTTCTTTCATAATTGCTACGGTTTGTTCTACCAGAGGGACCACCGTCAACCTGATCTAGAATGCTTTATGCCAAACATCGGAAATCTTTGTTGTCCATAACCACACAGAGTACTTGGATTTGAAAAAAATTTAATGTAGCCATGATTTGGTCAGTGATGAATGTTGATACAAGTACAGAAGATAAGGTCTATAACAGGGTGACAGTGCACTGATAAAATGTTCTCTATCAGTTCATCATGGTCCAATCTGTCTGCTCCAGTCGTGGGAGATAAAGCATGTGTCAACCTGTGTGTCATATCCCTCACACTCCACAAGTAATTCTTCATTTCTGTTTGTCAGAAAAATGTGTCATTATTTGTGAAATATTTCTAAAAACTTAAGAAAATAAAACTGATAACTAATATGAGACAAATCTGATCTCAAAATTATGGAATAACATTACTGTTTAAAAGTTTGCACAGAAATTCTATTCGTTGGAACAAAACGTTATTTGCCTCACCAGGTATATGCATTTCAAAGTTCTTAGGAGCTAAGTTTAAAAGTAAAATTTCATTTCGGGAATGTTGGATGAAAATTAAAAACCAGAGCTCACAAATGTTTCATTTTTGTTTTGCAGTCAGCCTTGGTATATAGAATTGTATCTCTATATTCAAGTATACTTCAATCTCTCTTGTATACATTTAAACAAACGGCAGTAGTTCAGC